GCCAAAAAATTGCGAGGTTGTGAAACCAACTAAATAGCATAAATTTAATAGCGTTCGAAATTCAAGATGGYGGACGTATTGATCATACGGTCTATTAACTTTTATGACTACTTACAATGATATCTTTAACTGTTTCTCTTATAATCATATCAGCCAATTGCCTACACAAGAAAAAATATTCACYCGGTCAGCGGTATGTAAACTTATGACGTCATGTTGATCTTGCCGAAGTGCATCATGGTATGTAAGTGTCAAAACATGGATGGCGGATGTCTTTATAAAATGGATGATTTAAGAGATTTTGCACTAGTTTATAATCAAAAACCAGTCTCAGCAATACCCCCGAAGATCAAAATATAATAAATACTAGGCTAAGCTTTTAAGTCTGGTTAAGTTAAAAATGAAAAAAGAGAGATTTATTTTCTTTTTCAAGTTTGCTTTTGACTATTTTTTAGTTTCGATTTAGTTGTCTTTCTAAAGGTGATATTATTCTTTTTATACAGATATACCTTTCTGTCTCTTGTAGCTTTTCCTATGGATATATAAAAACAATTTTTATGCTTTGAGTATGCTGAGCGCGCGGCCGGGTGGTTAATTGCAATTTTCAAAACTGGGACGAAATTATCTTCTTTTTTGCACGTTCATACCTATTTGATACCTATGAAATCGGCTGTTTGCGCGATGCAAAATAACTTTGGCTCAAAAACATTAACGAGTTAAAACAATTAAGTCAATGATATGTTTGAATACTCACCAAATTTCGAGAAATTATTTCTTCGTAGCTAATGAAATATAAATAAAAAAAAATAAATGTGTGAATAATTGACTTTTAAAAGAGTGGATTATATTTTGTGTTGAACTATTCCAAAAGGGTCTCTTAATTGAACATTATTTACAATAAAGGTTTTACCACAATTATGAATTTTTCTCGATTTCTGATTGGTCGAGAGCCGTGTGACAAATGAAAGTACAGCCACGGTCGCAAGATTGTTTTTATTTTCCTGGGAATGTTATCTATAACTATAGAATATTATTTTGTGGTAAAAAACAAATTTGTGAGAGTTTCTCATAGTTTGTCCTATTATTTCCTCTTTTTAAATATGCATTTCTTCATTTCGGACACTCCACCACGGCCCCAGTTCATTTACAAACTACGTGAACTCGAAAACAAAGACAAAAATGCTGATTTCYAATCACATAAATTGTCCTTTCTTTTTTTGCCATTCAATTGTAAACAAGAGAGMGTCAAGGTTTTCTGTTGAGTTCAATTTAAGATTACCTGTATATAACATGTTGATGCTGTGTATTCAAACACTAATAAGAACACAACAATAGATGATTAATGTCAACAATGGGTTCTAACTGTGAACAATAGATGGTGAATGATGTATGATATAACAATGGGATCCAACAAAGAACGATAGATAGTCAAAACAGAAAATAACATAACAATGGGCAACAAACAATGAATAATAGATAGTGAACAATGGATGACGAAACAATGGGCAATAACTAACGAACAATGGGTAATGAACAATGGATGACGTAACAATGCGCACAAAACCAAAGAACAATATATAGTGAACAATGGATGACGAAACAATGGGCAATAACTAACGAACAATGGGTAATAAACAATGGATGACGTAACAATGCGCACAAAAACAAAGAACAATATATAGTGAACAATGGATGACGTAACAATGGGTAATAACTAATGAACAATG